TTGCAGCCTCCCCATCTCCTCACAGCTCCTTCACGCTCCATCCCCATATCGGCACAATTCCTTCAAGGCCTTCCCCCAATACCCACACAACTCCCCTGCTTCCTTCCATCCCTCCTTTACTTTAACCTCTGCTGTAGATTAAAACCGCCATTTAAAAACCTCCTTTCTCTTCTGCTCCCTTCCCTTGACCTAACTTCATGCATATCTGGGTCTGTGGTGCAACACTACAATTCCTCCAATGGGAATTGCATGTTGACAGCCTTGTGTTTTTATGTATATAGGAAGATATACCAAGTCACATCAGCTGAGCTCACAAGAATCTTTTCTTGGCACAGAATGTGGATTGCTCAGTACAGAATTTTATGTATGTCTGGTACTACCACTAGACCAAATAGCAGTAGTTGTACTACTACTCATAGTGATGGTGGTAGTAACTACTACTCTCACAATCATCTTGCACAACAGTATTCCAAATTTAATTGCAAGATTCCATGGCTCTTTCCTTTAAAGGGAAACTAATGATGGGAAACATGGAGCAAAACCATATTAAGATAACAAAGACACACTTGATTATTTATCATCTGAGTTACCATTGAGGTCAATAGTGAATAGTACTGTTTGGTCAAAATAAAGATGGTTCGACTGCAGAGGCTGTATTTTGCAAAACCCAGAAGTATTGTTGGGGGGGGGGATTGGGGAGAGAGAAAAGTATGTCTTCATTTTCCCTGCTTCCTGCAATGTGGAATGGCTTCCAAAAAAAATTAAGGGGTCAATGAGATGTGGGAAATGAGGTGTCAGAAGGGTTGACTCTTCCATTGGATTTTGTTTTAATTTTACGCAATCAATTTTTATCGGTCTCAAGCTTTGGGAAAGCTTGCTTTTCGAAAGCCAGAACACATACTCACAGAGAGGCAAGTTTGACCTGATATTGCCCTTCTAAGCAATAAAGCCAAGGAACAGTTTATTTGACGTACACACGCACACACAGACACACACTATCGGGGTCTTCCCCCCACCTCTCCGCCACCTTTGCTGTTTGTCAGCTTCAATCGATCAGTTCTTAGCTAACCTTTCCAAGCTTTTTTATCATCGAGATAGGAAAGGGCATTTAATGTGTAAATAACTGGCCATGTGCCATTTTCTGTCAGTTTGGAATCATACAATCTTTGGACCAAATCCTTCAAAAATGTCAGCTTCACTGATGGCTTATTTCTGGGGACGGCTCTCTGGGTTAGGCACTCGTGTGACCCCCATTTCTGGGAGAAACTTGCCCAGTTCAGTTCATTTTATTTATATATTTATTTTAGAGGCAAACAGCTTGAACGGACTAACAGAGCTTTGACAGTCACAGCACAGATTCTACACAGGGACTTCAATTCTGGAAGTTGGTACGTTCTACCTTAAAAGAACTATCGTGTTTTGTTTTGTTTTGAACTGAAAACTCTATCCCTTGTGTTCTAGATCTCCTGAGGAAAATTCAATTAATTTCCCTGGTTTCAAGAGGGAAAAACAATTTGTGAGTGATGAATTTTGGATGGGGGGAATGTTTTAAATGGCCCAGAATATGAGCTTATGCTAACCATTCTAAGATTCCTCTGACTTAGAAAGGGCACGTGGCACAGTCCCTCACATTAACCCCAGGAAGTTGAAAGGGCTGCATGTTTTGATGCCTCTCTGGGCTAAAGTGTGGTGTAGTGGTTAAGAGCGGTAGTCACGTAATCTGGGGAACCGGGTTCGCGTCTCCGCTCCTCCACATGCAGCTGCTGGGTGACCTTGGGCTAGTCACACTTCTTTGAAGTCTCTCAGCCCCACTCACCTCACAGAGTGTTTGTTGTGGGGGAGGAAGGGAAAGGAGAATGTTAGCCGCTTTGAGACTCCTTAAAGGGAGTGAAAGGCGGGATATCAAATCCAAACTCTTCTTCTTCTTCTTCTTCTTCTTCTTCTGCTTATGGAAAGCTATCATGTAAGGTAGAATGCAGGGGGTTGGACTAGATGAATGGTAGGAGCCGCCTTTAGAAAAATTGACATTCATGCATATTAGGATCAGGGTGCTTTTGGATACGGCACCCTCAGTCTGGAGCCAATTTCCTCTGAATAACAGCAGAATAACTTTTAGGTGGAGACTTGAATTTTTTCCTCTTGCTAAGTCTAAGGGGTAAGGAGGCAGGGACAATTCCTCCTACTATGTTGCTATTTGGTTCTATGGTTTTTGAAATCTTATCCTTTATCAATTCATATTTTTTGGTCACTTGATTACAATTTGTTACAATAGTCTTTCTGCAGGCCATTGGGATGGCACCATTGGCATAAAGGTGTTGGGGAAAGCTATGAGAATGAATGGATGAATTGGTCTCACCATGTCAATGTATCTTGGCCCATGCATGGCAGCTTTTGGAACGGGTGTATTTTCAAATAGATGTTCCCACGGCATATGTGTAGATTAGGTGTGGGGGAACTTCAGCACGCTGGTGTAATGACAATTAAGGGTTAAATTGCACCTATTTGCCACACCCCAACTCCACCCCCAAAAGAAGACTTGGCATGGCTTGTCCCTAGGGAGGAGTTGGCAATCGATCATGTAGAGTGGAAGGGACGCAGGTGGCGCTGTGGGTAAAACCTCAGTGCCTAGGACTTGCCGATCGTATGGTCGGCAGTTCGAATCCCCGTGGCGGGGTGAGCTCCCATTGTCCGGTCCCAGCTCCTGCCCACCTAGCAGTTCGAAAGCACCCCTAAGTGCAAGTAGATAAATAGGTACCGCTTTATAGCGGGAAGGTAACGGCATTTCCGTGCGCTGCGCTGGTGCTGGCTCGCCAGAGCAGCTTCGTCACGCTGGCCACGTGACCCAGAAGTGTCTTTGGACAGCGCTGACTCCCAGCCTCTTAAGCGAGATGAGCATGCAACCCCAGAGTCGGACACGACTGGCCCCCACGGGCAGGGGTACCTTTACCTTTACATGTAGAATGGGGAGCCAATCCAGTTGGCTTTGCAAACAGGCTTCTCTCTCTTCACACAGCAACACCCTTCTTCCCTGTGCAATGGGGGCTTTGCTGGTTGACTCTTTAGGGTCTGAAGGGGGATTTTGAAGGGAAACACTCTTTGGTTGCAAGGAGGTTTACAAGGCAACATCTGGATCACCCTCCAGATTGGTGTAGGGATAACTCCTCAGCCTCTTGGTGCTGCGACCACAGCAGTTTGACTTCACTCCCAGAGGCGCACTCCATGGTCTCTCAAGACTAACAATATACCAACAACTTAAAAAGAAAGAAATCTCTTTGGCCCTGGGACTCTCCTTTTTTATCTTCTCCACACTTTGGGTAACTCATGTTTTTAATTGGTTCAATTGGCTTTTGGTCTGGACAGGAAAGAGAACTTTGAGATCTCATAAGACAAATATTTGAGGTGTTGATGGGTTAAGGGCACTCTTAGAGTGAGCACGGAGCTGGCAGGGCCACAGTGTGCCTATCCAGGTTCACATAGCAAGGAGGAAAAATTGCTTTCAATCCTTTGCCACAAAATGAGCCTCTAAACTTGCCCAAAAGTGAGGAGCAGTTGATCCCTCCAGCCTTAGGGAACTTCCCTGCCTGGACTATATGTTGATTCAGCTGATTAGGTTTAATTATATTTAATTCCTGTTTGCAGCTCCTCTATGTTATCACATTTTGCAAACAAAAACAAACAAAAAATACAATAACCTTTCTCCTCTCAAATAAGGGGTTCCTGAGTCTTCTTTATGGGCACGCTGGCAAAGAGATGAACCTCTCGCATGCTCCATAGTCCCTACCCCATAAGTCGTATTTCTGGTGTTCTCACCTCTGAATGTCCCAGCACTAAAAAAGGTGGAACACCTGCATGTTCCTTTTTGACCCATTTCCCTGTGTGCTTTTTCGGATTGTAAGCCAGGGAGCTGCAATAATGATAATCATGTCAGAAATGGCCTGTTAATCTGCAGGGGGAGCCCATTTCTTAACTATCTAGCAGTCTTCCTCAGCATCCTGCAGGCAACATAAAGGAGAATTTGAAGTTACTGAGGTGGTTCTTATTTGATGCAAATGCAACCGCACTCCCGTTTGTTTTGGATGGGATTAGGGAGTGGTGGTGCTCGAATTATTATAGCCATCATCCCGCTCAACTGTTGCCCGGGGGAAGGCATTCAGAGGCGAACAATGGGGGTGGGGAGGATACACATTGCTAATTTAGGCACCGCTGCCTAATCTTGTGTGGCATAAGCCGTTAGACACCTTCGCCCGCGAAACTGTGCTATTGTTAGCGCTCATCTGTATTTTAGGAATGGTGACATTTTGTGAGACCATAGGGGGAGGCATTCGCAACAGAACGCTTGTGAAATGCAATTATTTAGAGTTAAAAGCTTGGTTACTGCAGCAAATTGTTAACTTGGGGCTGATCCCTGAAAGATGCCTGCGGCTGGGGGATTGCGTATATTTTCGTGCGTTAAAGGCGTTTTGAATTCTTCTACTAGAAAACCTCTAATTGCTGGGCTGGCTGCCGTAGTGTGGGAGCTGTGAGTGGGGGCCGCTCCAGGAATTTGGGGGTAGGAGTTTGGGCAATAGGTTTCTAAGGGGGCATCGCTGTTAGGGCTGCCCATTTGCTTGACCTCTGAACCTGGTCCACACCACAAAGGAAACTGCTTTATAGTGAGTCAAACCCATATTTTACCTTTACACTGGCTAGCTATGGCTCTACAGGGTTTCCGGCTGGATTCTCTCTCAATCCTGTGTAGAGATGCCAGGAATTGAATTTGGGACCTTCAGCATGTTCTGGCACTGAGCTTCAGCCCTTCCCACCACTGCCCAGAGAGGCAGAGTAGGGCAAAGAGAAGCTTCTCCTTACTTGCACACGAATGCTTGGATAGGGCAGAAGAACAGACAGTAATGTCTAGGAGGTAAAGTAGGAGTGCCAAGGCTTCTGCGGATTGGTAGCAAGCCCCCACTAGGCTGTGGGCCTTAGCAGATGCCTAACCATTTTGTCTCCCAATGACAGAGGGACATGGCTCAGTGGTTAGGCTTCTGCTCCGGAAGCAAAAGGTTCTAGGTTCAATCCCTGGCATCTTCAGGTAGGGCTGGGAAATAGGCCCAGTTTAGAACCCTGCAAGTCACTATATGGACCAACTCAGTATAAGGCAGCTTCCTGTGTTCTTTCAGAATTAGACCCTTAAAGACCCTGGTTCAAATCTAGCCATAGCCGTTGCAGTGGCAAAGGGCAACACACACACACACACACACACAAATACACACACACACTGCTTTAGTACATACCCTTTGCGATATGATAATAATAATAATAATAATAATAATAATAATAATAATAATAATAATTTATACCCCACCCATTTGGGCAGCTCCCAACCAAATGTTAAACACAATACAGCATTAAACATTAAAAATGTCCCTAAACAGGGCTGCCTAAGATAGTTGTTTATTTCCTTGACATCTGCTGGGAGGGCGTTCCACAGGGCGGGTGCCACCACCAAGAAGGCCCTCTGCCTGGTTCCCAGTAACTTCACTTCTTGAAGTGAGGGAACCGCCAGAAGGCCCTCAGCACTGGACCTCATGGGGCTAAATGATGGGGGTGGAAACGCTCCTATATGAGGATAATAATACTGACAAACTTACCAGGATTCATAAAATCACAGAATCCTGGAGTTGGAAGGGGCCACAAGGGTCATCTAGTCCAACCCCCTGCAATGCAGGAATCTTTTTGCCCAATGTGGGGTTTAAACCCACAACCTTGGGGTTATGCTGTACCGACTGAGCTATCAACGTTCCAAGGATCATTGGGATATTGCGGATAAATGGCTTTTGACACTTAAAGCGGACCACACAAAGGATACAAATCAGGCACATTTGCATAAACTTATGTTTTCCTACATTTTCTAAAATGTATGGGAGAGAAAGATAGGTTCACTGAGCAAGGAGGAGAAGCAAAAGCTGAGTAGGGGGGAGGTACCTTGGCCTTCCAAATGGAGCTTTTCAAGATATTGTTTATGAGGAGGGTTGATATTGGTCATCATGTTTAAATTCTGATGGCCGGCCCCATTATTACTGTGCGGTAAGGTAAACCTTTGTGCCTGTGGATGGCATCCCTGAAAATAAAATGGAAGCTTCAAATCGAAAGGCAAACTACAGAGATTCTGAGAACTACTAGAAAATAAGGAAGCAGGATTAGTGCAATAAAGGGGAGGGGGAAACAGAAGCTCTTTGGAATCCCAGAGATTCCTATTGTCTGATGTCCAAACAACTCACTTATCAATCACAACTCTGACTTCATTCATTGGCTAAAAACACTGACAGTAGGAGCAGCTAGACAGGCTCATTTCACAGATATCACTTGGAAGAGTACCTGCACATTTTGTTCCATAACTTTCTTCCTGGCTGCAATGTGTAGGTGTGCTGGCTCAGGGTATAAGGCCCCAGAGGTGCCAACGAATGCCTTCGATGGTGTCATGGAGCCCACTTTGACCACCCATATACCCTCTAGAAGACCAGTGTGGTGTAGTGGTTAAGAGCAATAGACTCGTAATCTGGGGAACCGGGTTCGCGTCTCCGCTCCTCCACATGCAGCTGCTGGGTGACCTTGGGCCAGTCACACTTCTTTGAAGTCTCTCAGCCCCACTCACCTCACAGAGTGTTTGTTGTGGGGGAGGAAGGGAAAGGAGAATGTTAGCCACTTTGAGACTCCGGGTAGTGATAAAGCGGGATATCAAATCCAAACTCTCCTTCTTTTTCTACATGCTCCTGACTAAATCAATCGTAGAGAATTACAGCAGCAATAAATTATGGCAGCAGAAAGATATGGTTTGGGGTGCCCAACCAAGTGTGGATTATTGAGGCAGGGGGAGGGGCATTCATATCTGCCTCAGGCACAAAAACTGCCCTTGATGTTGCCATGGGGATATATTGATAGCATAGCCCTGTATACATAGCATAGCCCAGAGACAGTGTGGTGTGGCAGTTGGACTAGAGTCAGGAAGATGGAATCCAAACTCCCATTCAGCCCTGAGACTCACTGGGTGGCAAAGTCAGCCCCCATTTCTCAGCCTAACATGCTTCATAGGGTAGATGTGTGGGTGAAATTGGAGGGGGAACCTGTGGCCCTCCAGATATTGTAGACTCCAACTCCCATCAGCCCCAGCCAGTGTGGTCAATGGTCAGGGATCTGCATTGGCTACCCCGGTCTATATTGTGAATTGCTTTGAGGTGCCTTTCTATTAGTATTAAGTGAGATGCAAATCTAATAAATAAAATCAAGGCAAAGTACTCACGCCTTCAACACACATCCATCACTGCTACCCCAAGTAGTCAGATCTCTGACCCGCCATGAGGACTAGAATCTTACTTTATTTTAAGAGGAAACCATCAGTGGTAGACCATCTTCTACCATCAGTGGTAGACCATCATCTCTAGGTAGGGCTGGGAGAGAGCCCTGCCAGAAACCTTGCAGAGCCACAGCCAGTCATTGTGGACCATATTGAACTTGATGGACCAAGCATAAGGCAGCTTCCGATATTTTATGTCCATTGGAACAAAACTTTTGTAGGAAAGTCTCTTGACAGATTATTTCTCTGGTGGTGTTTCTGGCAAAGACTTTGGACTTAGTTGGCTGGTGGGTTGCCTGTTCTCATCCCTGGTGTTCTGAAAATGGAAAGAGCTGAAGGACAGAACTTAATAATAATAATAATATCAAAAATCCCTCTGCTCCTTGGGTCATTTACAGAGCTGAGGAGCCTCCCTATTTGTTTGAGAGCTGAGATCCAGCGTGGCTAATCCATGTCCTCGGGAAACTCTATTAAGAGAAGGTGGATGTTACCTTCCCATTGTGACAGATTTTTAATCTTGGAGGCCATGTGGTGCTGGAGGCCAGCTTGGGTGGTATCTGGACCCCTTGTCCTCCAAACAGCCTGAATTGCATTTTGCTAAAGCCGCATGGAGCAAGAATTCCAGCCAGGAGAGGGGAGCAAAGGAGAGAAATTGGAAATTGCGTGCACTAGTTTGTGCCTGTGTAGCTCGGCTGACCTAAGCATCAGAGAAACCAAACCGGGGGGCGGGGAAACGTGAGAAGGAAACAGCTGCAGTAGAAAATACGTGAAAAGTAACACGCCACATCAAACACCAATTTGGCATTTCATTTCTTGCAAATGGAAGAGATATAAAGATCCCTTTAATAAAAATTAAAATAATGAGCAATTTTTGCTGTGGTGTGATGTCTTGGGTCCCTCTTTTTATTCTTCCTTCCAGCTAATTCTCTAGATGTGCGACCCTAATCCCCAGCATTTTGGGTCTAAAAACCCCACTTAAGACAATAAGACTCAACTTCCGACTATTGCTGTTGTGTGGTGAGAATGGCAGCAATCTGGGATGGGATTCAAACTCAAGGAGAATGTATAGTCCACCTAGGGGTGATATGATGCTCCTATATCATAGCTAGCATCCAGGCCAAGAGGAGAGCTGAAACAAGCATACAACAAAATGTGTGAGGTGTTCTGGAGCCCGCTGCATTTGAGGATGTTATGTGAGCAGTGTTAGATAATATAAGCTAGGTGCCAAATGCCACCTTAAATCTAGGTTGCAGTCGCCACAACGGAATGTCTGTTCACCAGGGAGCTTAGCAAGATGACACTCAGGAAAGGTTGTCATACACCCGGTATTTCCCAGACAAAAATGTCTGGACATATGGCAACCCATGTTGGCAGTGTCGTTTTTGCTGATTTTCCTTAATAATAGCTCAACAACAGTTATTATTTTTGATGTGATTTTCCTAATAAAGATCAACAACTTTGCCCAAAAAAGCTGAACTGTTGTGTCTGGATTTTCACCTATTGAAATATGGCAGCCCTACCCTCGGGGTCCCTTCCACTGCTACAATTCTATGATTCTATGAGCTTAACTACATTGCTTGACAGTAGCTTGCACCAGTATGGTGTAGTGGTTAAGAGCGGTAGTCTTGTAATCTGGGGAACCGGGTTCGCGTCTCTGCTCCTCCACATGCAGCTGCTGGGTGACCTTGGGCCAGTCACACTTCTTTGAAGTCTCTCAGCCCCACTCACCTCACAGAGTGTTTGTTGTGGGGGAGGAAGGGAAAGGAGAATGTTAGCCACTTTGAGACTCCTTAAAGGGAGTGAAAGGCGGGATATCAAATCCAAACTCTTCTTCTTCTTCTTCTTACAACAATTCACTTGTGCCACTATGCAAGAAGGAGAAACATGCACAGTGGAAATTAACTATGAAGTAAGGCAGAGGTTTTTAAAATGTGGTCACCAACCTAATGCCCAGAAATCTCCATGTATTATTTTTATTTATTATATTTATTTTATAATAATAAAAAGATAAAATATAGATCGCAATTGGACCTACGCCAGCGACAAAACGCTCCTGGAGCCTGGCTAATTTCTAAGACTGGATGTGAGATAGATAGATAGACAGCTATGACTGAAAGGATTTTTTTAAAGAATTGAACTGAGAGCACTTTTTCTAAACTTTTGTATTGTTTCCTACAACAAGGGAATAATGAGACCCCAAGAAAATAATGACTAGGCTGTTCCCCACCCCCACTTTAAAGTAACTAGGTCGGTCAGGCCTGGCCAGGCACACCCTGGTGGTTCTGGGGATGGAGGAGAAGGGAAAGAAGGAGAGCAGCAGAAAGTCGTTCAAGCGTTATTGAAATGGATGAGATATATTCAAGGATACTCTTTTAGAAGTCCCTCTGAAATGAATAGGGTTTCGAGAAGAACATTATTGACTTCGGGGATTTCAGCTTGGCACTCTGTGCATCAAACCTTCTGAGGATTAAGCGATGGTGGTGATGACGTGATCTGAGCAATGTTTCTTCTCTGACCGATTTCTGCGCTAGAAATCCATTTCCACACATGAATTGCTGAGGAATTGCTCCATGCCTCCAGCTGCATTAACTCCCTCATAATCATTTGCAAATATTTCTTTGTCACTTTCTTTAAAACAAGGTGCAATGGGACCCAGATTCAGGAGGCAAACAAGCAGAGCAGTGAGATTCCTCTATGGGGATATGAAACTCAGGTGTCATTTTTTTTCTCTTTTTGA